AATAAAGGATACCCATATCAGATTATCTAGGCGATCAGCACAAGGGGTCTGATTTGAGAGTAGGAAGCCTTCGCTCCGCGGTTCCCTGAAGCGCACTGATGTAGCCCACGTGCTCTGCCCAGCCCAGGAAGGGAGCCAACCTCTCCTTCACCCAACCGAGCAGTGTTCAGCGATTGGGCGGAAAGGAAGATGCATTCCAGCTGTCCTAAAAAACAAAGACAAGCAGAAGATGGGGTAGTTTTCCTTTTCTTCAGTGAAATAAACCTGACCTTCTGGTAGGAGAGTCTGTCTTGAATCAGAAATGGTTTAAGCGAATCACAACAGGAAACAGCTCTGGTTACGGAGCCAGGCTTGCTCCAGGTCCTAACGCGCAAATGGAGCGTCCCATCCCTATTTCCTGTAACTCTGGGTCTCGCAGGTAGTTGCCCCAAGGAGCCCTGGCAAAGGGGGCTGGCCCTTGCCTTTGGGATTTCTGCTCTAAGAACGGCCTGAAGAAGAATGAACATTGGCCAAAGGAAGAAGCACTAATCCAATAATCGGGAACCCTGGCTCTAAATGTAGTTAATTTCTATTTAATTGGCCAGTAACTACATTTAAAATAAACACCAGTTGGTAATCAAAAACAGGAGGATAAAGGATGAGCAATTGTGTAAACAGGATAGAATTACTAGACCAAAACAAAGTTGGGGGAAAGTGAGAGACAGACTGCTTCAGAGAAAACACGCTCGGGATAGGAGGGACTGCCCGCAAGCAGCTGGGCCTCCCCGAACTCATAAAGATTTATATCAGCTCTTCCCTGTGTTTGCTAGCCTTCAATAAAACTAATCACCAACTGGCCTTTAATTATAAAGTATTTATTCCTTTGTTAAATAAAAATTAAAAGCACATGCAAAGAGCGATTTTAAAACTGTCAAACAGGGTAAGAGTTTGGCACATCCTTGTACAACCTCAGCGACCAAGGTACAGTTGGTCAGGCTTCCAGAAAACCCTTGGTCTCCCAAGGCACTTGCTGACCCCTGCAGCTGCTGGCAGTGTGGGCTTGCAGCAACAGGGGCTGCTCCCCTGAGGGAAGAATGTGGAATCTACTGGGCTGGGGCAAGGCACATCCTACTGCCAACCCATCCCCTGTCTGTAATCTCTGCCTTTCTGCACCACCCAAGATGTACTAATGTGTCTTGTAAAGACTCATCCCTTGGCCTGTGCTGTATTCCGCACTGGTTGGGGGGGGGTGGGACAGGGAGAGAGGTGGGGAGGAAATGAGGAAGAGGAAGAGGAAGCAGAGAGAACAGATGAGGACCGCTTGAGACAAGAGCCCCAGGCTGTGAGCAAGCTTCAAACTGGGTTTTCCTTTTAGGCAGACATTTTCTAATTAAACTTTAAACCCAAACCCTTGTCCTATCCCCCTCCAAAATGCAGGCTATGTGTCTCCCTCCTAGTTCCCAGGAAATTGTCTTCTTGTTCCTTCATTAGAAACTGGAATGGATCTACTTTGAAGATAAAAATTCAGCTCCCTGCCTAATTTTTCTATGATTCATTTGGACCCAGTGCATATTCATCAGAGGGACTAAAAAGCCCTGTGAGAATCAGTTAAGAAGAAGGAAGGTGCATGAGCAGGCGATAAGTAGCACTTCTCATCAGACCTGCTGCCCGGGGATGTTAAAGTGCTTTTTAAAATGAGGACTAATAAGGCCACTCAGCATTTGCTGCTTCCTAAGAGCCTTGGCTAAATTAATTATGGCACACAATAACCCTGTAAGGTTAAAAAACAAAAAAAATTCCTAGTATTTTGAAAGCAACTGCCCATCCCCAAAGAGGGAGGGTACGTCCCCCAGAACCAAGATTAAAACTCCACTCCCTTCCTGTCATCAAAGGCCGGCTTGTTTGTCTCCAGGCAGGGCCTTGGGAGAGCCGGTCACTCGGGCGAAGTGGCCTGAGCCACAGGCCTGGGGGGCCGCTGCACAACTGGGGCTGTGGGAATGCAGGCGCGGTGCGGGGGGAGGGGGGGTTGAGGTTTTGTTTACTAATTATATATTCTGGGGCGTAAGTGGTCAGACATGGGCAGGGCCTCCTGCTCAGGGACGCAGCCCCAGGCGAGGCCTAGCCAGGAGGGGCCGGCTTTGCCCTGGGCCACCCACACGCTGGCACGACTGTGCGCCCCGGAGGCCAGCTCCCTTTCTGCATTAGCTACGGCCCGGATTCCGAGTCACATCTGCACGGGCCCGAAAGAAAGCCTGTAATTTCCATAGAAGCCCGTTCTTTGAGTCAGAGCGGCAGATAACTGTTGGTTTTAGGTTTCTTTTCAAGGTGATTACACATCATTTGGTCGTGGGGAAAAAGCCTCGGCTATCAGGAAAGGAAGAGGCTGGGTGATTTGAAAACTATGCAGGGAAGGCCTGTGAGTCACTGGGGAGAAGCGGCGGCTCGCCCCCCTCCCCCCAACACCCCCCTCTTCATCTGGGGGCCTCTTTGAGAAGAAGCCAAGGGGACCCCAGGCTTCCTAGAAGGCAGTTTAATTCTGAAAATAAACCAGCACTTCACCTCCCGTGTGTTGGGCGGGGAATTGTAAAACAGGACGCAGTCAAAACAGTCGTGAGGGCCGAAGCCAGGCGGGCGCCCCCAGCAGCGTGCGGGGGGCGTCCTGGGCGGACCTCAGCGGCCGCTCTCCGCGGTCTCCCCCAGGAAGCCTCGTTCCAGTCCACTGAAGGCGGCCCGATAGTTTATTGACTACAAACTGGGGGGTTGAGCTGGTTGGTAAACAAGTTTGGAGTGTTTTTTTTTTTTTTTTGCTGTGTTTATGTTTTATACATGGAATAGTTTTAAATATTTTTTTTAATTCAGAACACTCCCGAAATTCTGCAACTTGAGGGAAAAACTGCACAAGTTTCAGAGCAACATTTAGACACTTTAAAGACTTTATTTCAGGGACTTTAATGGTGATAACTGGGCGAAGGGACGACTTTTATTAACCATGGCATTTTAGCAGCCGACTACGGAGATCAAAACCAGGAGCAGGCCTTCCAAATTCATATTGTGAAGCGCCTCCAAAAACATTCTTCTGTCAGCTTTGAAACGTGGAGACTTCATCTTTTCATCTGATCAAGGAAAAATATGCTCAAATTCCCCAAAAGGTATTCGGTTAGTGAAAGGGGGTCAGGGGATGTGTTCTCATCGGGCCCCCACTCTGCAGACTTATCTGGTCAAAGATTCCCCCCCGGGTCTAGGCTGTGGGTGGAATGGGTGCCCTCGGCCTGGCGGCAGCTCTCAGAAATCAGCTTTCACAGATGCAGGCCGGAGAACAAAGGGCAGGCTTCATCCGCCCGCACCCCACAGGCCCCTGTGCAAGTGGGGGGGGGGCCTCCATTCCAATGCCCATCACATGGCCTCTGTGGCATAAAAGCCTTTTAATAATTCTGATTTTGAATATCAAATTGAAATGAAAAGCGCATTTAGGAAGGAGAAGCTCCGTCCACACGGAAAAGCGTGTTCTATGCAAACAGGTTGGGCAGGCGCTGGCTCTTGCAGGCTACGGTTCTCAACTTGGCTGCACATTGCACACCTGCTCTCAAATGTACTGATGCCTGCCTCCTCCCCTCCCACCCCCCACCACCGAGAGAGTATGATTAACTGACCTAGGGCGGGGCCTGGGCATCAGGACTTTTTACAGCTCTCCAAGTGATTCTAATGTGCAAACTTGAGAACAGCTGCCGAGGGATTTAATGCAGCATTCAAGGCCTCTCATAACCGAGTCCCAGCCAAACCTTTTGACCTTTCCTTCCTTCACCCCCATCTCAGCCTGTACGTGAGGCGCAGAGACCTTTTCATTATGCCCTGAAAGTACTTGGCTCGTGCATATTTCCATGCTTTCATGCACACATATTGTCTCACTCTGGGCACCAGAGAAAGCCCAGCTCAAATGTCCTCTGTGCAACTTCCCCCTAATTGTCACCCCACCTTCACCACCTTGCCCTGCAGTCACAGGACACTTTGTGCCTCCCTTTATTAGAGCATTTCTCACATTACAGCAAAGACACCTGCTTAGGGGCGCCTGGGTGGCTCAGTCGTTAAGCGTCTGCCTTCAGCTCAGGTCATGATCCCAGGGTCCTGGGATCGAGCCCCGCATCGGGCTCCCTGCTCGGCGGGAAACCTGCTTCTCCCTCTCCCACTCCCCCTGCTTGTGTTCCCTCTCTGGCTGTGTCTCTCTGTCAAATAAATAAATAAAATCTTAAAAAAAAAAAAAAAGACACCTGCTTATAGGTCTGCCGCTCTCCCTCGCCAACAAAATATGGACTGCAGTTCCGGCAATAAGCACAGGGCTCGGTTAGGGCATAGGTTTCTGTGAATGCTTATCGAATGAGTAAATTAATAAATGAGTGGATGAATGCGTGCCAGTCTTGTACATAGTTGATATTCTACCACATCGAACCCAATTCTCAAACCAGGGTCACCTGGGAGACTGAGTCAGTAATTTGGGGGTGGCAGATCTACATCTTTGTTTATCAATGTGGGTTTCATCGACCAGTAGTGGCTACATTATCTGAGAACTTGTTACAAATGCAGAATTTGCATTTTAACAAGATCCCAGGAAATTCGTATGCATAGTACAGTTTGAACTGTAATTTTAAACAAGCTCCCGGGTGATTCCCATGTAACCAGTCTGCTGAGGAGCAATTGAGACCCACTGCTCTAGACTTCCATTTACTGCATCTAGTAGACCCTGTGTGATTGCCTAATGGTTCCTTCTATTACCCCTTTTCCCTACCTAACGAAGCCCTGATTTTGTTCAGGTATCAGCCCTTCACCCACCAAGCCTGTCCCTCAAGGAAGCTTGACCCCACCTCCAGCCCCAGAACTGGGCCTGATTGGTCAAAGGGACATCCCATTCTGCCCCAGCAGGGATTGGTTCAGGAATGGACATGTGACCAAAATCAGGTTAATGAAATACGAGGGTAAATACCTTGGGGGGCAACCTAGAAAAAGTTTTCTCTTTCCTAAGAGAAAGCCACAAGGGAGAAAAGCAAGTCTCTCCTCTTCAAGAGGCTGTTCTGCCTCGATGTCATGTCTTGGAACTATTGCTGCCGTCTGCTACCTGACCAATGAAGAAAACCAACACTGAGGTATCAGAGCAGAGATGGGAAGGACCTGGGTCTTAAGACATCGTTGAGCTTTTCTGTCTCTGGACTTCTTGTTATGGAAGGTAAGTTTTTTGTTTTTTTTACTGTTTAAGCGATTTCTGTTCTTTGCAACTGAAAGTTCTCATTGATATACCAAATATCTTACTATCTTCATTCAATCAATATTTTAGTACTTACTGTGAGGCATTATGCTAAGTACATTACAAGTACTATCCTAACCCTCAAGAAATCTGTAAGTCAAGTATCGTTAATCCCATTTTACAGATGAGGAAACGGAAACTTGGAGCAATCCACTGCTCAGTTAAGTCAAATAGCTAATAAGTGGTAAAGTCAGAATTTGAACCTGGGTCTGACTCGAAAGCCTATGTTCTATCCACGCTACCATGGTTTCTAGTTGAGTGGCTTTATTACGTGAAGTTTCAGTATGTCATCAGTTCTCAACTTTTTAGACTCAGGACCCCTTTATGTTCTTAAAAATGACTGAGGATCATAAAGTGTTTTTATGTATTTAGGTGATGTCTATTGATATTTAACACATTAAAAATTAAAACTGAGAAATTTAAGGTGTTTAATTTAAAAATAACATTGACTAGCCCATTTCATGCTAACATAAGTAATATATTTTCATGAAAAATAACTATATTTTCCCAAACAAAACAAAATAGTGAGAAGAGTGACATTGCTTTACATTTTTGCAAATCTCTTTAACATCTGGCTTAATAGAAGACAGCTGGATTCTCTCTGCTTCTGCATTCGATCTGTTGTGATGTGTTGTTTTGGTTGAAGTATACAAAGAAAATCTGACTTCACACAGATATATCATTGGAAAAGAGGGGAGTATTTTATAAGCCTTTTCAGAAAATTGTGCTTTTTCTCTGATACTATACCAAAACTGCACAAGTGGTAGTTTCTTAAAAGTTAGTTGCAGGGGTGCCTGGGTGGCTCAGTCGTTAAGCGTCTGCCTTTGGCTCAGGTCATGATCCCAGGGTCCTGGGATCGAGTCCCGCATGGGGCTCCCTGCTCAGCGGGGAGCCTGCTTCTCCCTCTCCCACTCCCCCCGTTTGTGTTCCCTCTCTCGCTGTGTCTCTCTCTGTCAAATAAATAAATAAAATCTTAAAGAAAAAAAAAGTTAGTTGCAGTGTGGAACCTGAAACCAAATGAATAAATGTTTCATCTCGATTGCATTAGGATCCATTGGTCTGCCTTATACTTTGAAGTGATCTTTACCCGTGCATAATTTTGTTACATCAGGCACTGGTCATTTGGAATATGTTGATTCACTGAGTTATGCAGACCTTCCCAATGTTGAGACATTACTCATACAGTATCAAAAACTGCATTTGTCAATATCACCATCAATATCATCAGTAAAAGTCTCTAAATACTGGTAAAGCTGTGAAGCTCGTGGTAGCTAAAACAAGTTTTCCAAAGTTCTAATTTTTGCTTGAAGTCTTCATTTCTACCACTGGCAACAAATACTGTCAGTTATTTTCTTTGAAGCGGCGGGCTCACTTGCCAACTTTTGAGAAAATATCTGCCAGATATCCAAGTCAAAATAACTGTCATTTGTCTCTCAGCCATTCTTCCAGGTAGAAGTAGTGCTCCTCGAAAAGCAGCTAGTTTAGTTTGTAACTCAAACACTGGCACGAGTGCTTTTCCTCGGGAAAACATGGTACTTTGGAATACAGCAGATTTTTTTCAATGTATGTTTCCCATTTCATGACATAGACCGTTAAAAAGACCGGTACCTAAAGGTCGAGATTTAATAAAATGAGTATTTTTTATGGTTCCTCAAGGACATTCTTTAAGGAAACGAGCAGAGGTGTCTCTGGACTGCAGGGGTGAGGCAGTGAAGAATGCAGTGCCTACTGGAACCGTTTGGTGCCATTGCCTTGATTCATGCTAAGGCGCTGGTGATTTTCTCCGCCATCACTTCTACGTCATCAATGCAAATGTCAGTACAGTGAAAAGAGCCAAAGAGCATCTTAATAGTATCATGAAAATGGCTTTGACTCGTGGGCCAGCTGCAGTAGGGTTGGGCTTCCCAAGGGTCTGCAGCCCACCCTTGCAGAACTGCTACTCTAGGTGGTCGCGAGGCCCATGACAGCTGCTAGGAAAAACCATGGAGACGAAATGATTGTTGCCAGGCCCTGGAAGAGACTGAGCTCTGTCACACCACGGTCTGGCCTCTCCTCTGAGTCAATGTGACTTTTGCCTCAAGCATTGCTGACATGGCGGGGCTTTTCAGAGGAGCCTTCAGAGTGTCCCGGGGCTGGGGTGCTTGCGAGGCCTGGGGCCGGGGGACACGGGAAATTGGCTCACTCAGTCCCCGTGCTGCCAGTTACAACGGTGCGGATCCACAACTACCCTGTTGCCCTATGGAGCCCGTTTAGGCAATTTAACTTGTACTTGGCTTAGAAATGATCTGATTTCTACTCATAATTCTTAAAATACTCCTGTTAATGAAGTTATCGAAGCCTTTTCCTTGGGATAAAATTTCTCAGATGCTGAAGAACTATTAAATAATGAAGGTTTTGTGTCCTTCTGGGGGGTATCGGGACTGCTTCTCTCTAGCGGCCCCTTTCCTCAGTAGCTTGCCAGAACGGGCATGTTGGCAACACCAAGCACAACTTGGGGGCATCTCACTGAGCCAGTCCCTGTTTCCAGGAAAGAAACCCATGTCCTTGAGCCAGAATGAATGTTCTAAGGGCTGGGATTTTTCTTTCTCCTGCTAGAGAGGGAAGAATGACAATGGTTTGCTTGAATCCCCACAGTGGGAAAAGCCATCCAGAAATTCCAGCCTGCCAGACATCTTCAGGCCAGAGATGCTGTTCCTCGACTCATGAATACACTGAGGAATTTGTCCTGGCACCATCTGAAGGGTTAAAAAAGGCTCCTGTTCCTGATTAGCCATGATGCTTGGGCTAACTAAAACTGGGGAAAAGGCCAGTCATGCTGCTGGCCTGTTAGAGTGACTGAACACATTTCTTAAAGCGCAGAAGCGAGACAGACATCCCAAAAGATTGACCTGAATTTGTCTTGCAAATGGTAGTTTCTGCCTTGTTGCTGCACTGCTGTGGAAAAAAAAAGTCACGATCGGAATATGGCAGGGAAGGAAGTTCCCAGGTCCTCAGAGGAAAGGCTCTGAGTGTTAGCAAGTTTTTCCTAATATTTGACCTAAAATGTTCTTTCCTTCAGGACCACACAGGCTTTTTTTTTTTTTTCCTTCTTAAACACAAAACACAACTGCATCATACATTCCTCCCCTCGCTTCTGTACTGGGAGCACAAGAGTTGTAATGATGTCCTTGGCTCTGGGTCTCTAAACCTTCCCATTGAATTTCTCTAACCTCACACAACAGGACCAGCCCAAGCCTTGCAAGGGAGGGAGGAACTATATTCAGGGCAATAAGTGCCCAGATCTGGATTGAATTAGTCTGGTCTGTGTGCCATTCCTGGCCTCTGTATGCTTTCAGGTTTGCGTACGAACAGTGCTCCGTGTGATCTGCCTTGGAACCCCTTCCCCCGCTGCCCCTTTTCCTTTTTACCTTGAGCTTTTGCTTGGTACTTTAGCTCTTATTATTATGTTGGCAGAATGCTTTCCCTCCCTCTCCCCCAAGCACAGTTGTGGTATATTGTTTCTGTGCTGTATTAGAAAGAATGATGGATGAATAATTTGGGGGAATGTATACTCTGGTTGTGCATTAAATAGTCCTAGATGTTGGAGAAGTCACACCCCTGTTCTGGGCTTCACCTGACAGGGGATTGGGAGAGGGCTACATTCGAAGTGGTTCATAAACCTGGAGACCAGAAATACATTTTTTGCAAGTCCCCTCCCCTACCTCCAGCACTTCCTTCGATGGGTGCTAGGAGGACAGCAGTGTCTCCCCGTGAGGGGGCCAGCTTTGAGGCCCGCTGCTGGACTTGATGGGTTCTAGATCCTTCTCAGTCCTAAAATTTGTCTTCTCCCTGTCTCTCCAGATGCCGTGCAGTGCGCCACTGGCTTGTACTTAACTTGCCAAAGCTTCGGTGCCTTCTAGGTGGTCCACACGGTTTCAGACCACTCCCTGTCACTCCAGGCTGGAGTCCGGACCTTCCACAGCCTAAAAGAGAAGGGCAGTTTGGTGATTTTTTAAGGTATCTCCTTTATTTAAAAGAGTGAATTGGGGACTCTGAGAAGTCAGGGGGTGGCAAGCACTCTGAGCTTGGGTCAAAGGACAGCAGGTAGGAGAGGCACCCACATGCCTCAGGTGCTGTGTCCCAGTAGCCACACAAAGGGGCTTCTGGAAAGAAAAGATTCCTACCAGTTTCTGAGGGAGCAGATGGCCTCGGAGGGCTGCCTGCCTCCCCCACCCCCACCCCCAGCCCCCAGGCTCCAGGACCGACTTAGCTTCCTACTCCTGTAGGAAGCATGACAAGCCCCACCTACACTGCTGGCCCGAATGTTTGAGAACTTGGAGCAGTTGGGAGCACAAACATTTACTCTCTGGAGGTGTTGTTTGGTGCTGCTGTGACCGAGGCCAAAAATGCAGTTTCCTAAATCCCCTGTTCCTATTGTAGGGCACACACTACAGATTAAAGAAAAAGAAAAGAAGTAAGAAAAAATAAACAGCGAGTGTGCCAGTGGGCTAGGCATCTGTAGAAAAAGAGGGAAAATCTGGGTGGCTTTAGGGAAAACAAAGACAACCAAACAGGAAAAGAATTCAAGAACACACAAAGTGTGACTCAGACGCGTGAAAACACACATAAAAGAAAATCCATTCATATAGAAGATAAACATTGAGAAGGGGATTCTGTGTGGTAAGTAACTTAAAATGTTTACTCCAGGAGGCTAATAAGGTCTCCCATGTAAAACAGAAGCATTTAGAAATATGATTTGCCAGTAAGATAAATGCTGAAACAAAACATAAAAAGTTGAGACAAAATTCCGACCACATTGTACTTAAATATCTCCTTAAGTCACTATAAAAAAAAACAAGATACTTCCAGTTACTCTACTTATTGATCTACACCTTCCCAAGAGAACTTAAAATGAAATGATAACATTGATCAAAGAGTTGGCATCAAGAACCAAAGGATAACATTTCAGCTAGTCAGAAAGTTAACAGTGGCATAACTGCTTAAATATTTGGGAGAACATGATGACCGAAAATCTTAGGTTACTCAGTAATTATATATAACCTTGGAGAAATTTTCTAAAATTTCCATGCCTCAGTGTGCTCATACATAAAATGGGACATTGCTGTTTCATGGCTCTGTTGTGAGAAAATAAATAATCTAAAATGCCACCATAATTCTAATTAAAATGCAATCATGAGTGCAGTGAGTGAAACCTTCTCATCTTTAAGAACCAAGAGAATTTTTTTTTTAGGAAAAAAGAAAGTCTTCCTGAAGTTAGCCAAACAACAAGGAAAAAAAATAATTCAGTTGAGAGGGGAAAAAAATGGCTGACCCAGCTTTCAGCTCTATATCCCCTTTCTAATAAAGACACAAGGCAACCATGTTTTATATCTTTTACTAAGAATTCATTTGGAATGTTTTCCGTATACATTATAAATAAGTTCCAGAATCCAGGTAGCCTAAAGAAACCACATTTCCCTGATGGGTTCTGTTGCTTATAGAAATCGTTCCTATTACCTATTCACAGGAACGTTTGGCCTATTTAAAGGTCGCAGGTGTGTGAGAACAGATGGTATTGAGAACCGGGACATATTCAGGCTGCGAAAAGACTGCCAACAGTCAGCTTGAGGGTAATGCTTTAAGAGCAGCAGTGTTTTTTTCCTTTCCCTTACTCATGTGTGCATAGCGAGCAGGTTCTCTGTGAGAGCCATGTCCTGGAGATTTAATTTGTATTTTTTTTTTCTCCTCTTCTGTTCTTTAGGAGACAAGTGCCAGATATTTCAAAATATAGGCTAGCTCAGAAAACCACCTTGGAGTCAATGCAGTGAGCCTCCCTGAGAATGGTAGGTATGGAGTGAGTTGGTTGTGCCTACTATTGGGGGTTTAAAAAGGAAGGGGAGGATGGAGAGAGAAAGAGATGGAAAAAAACAGCAGAGGAGCTGTTTCCTCCTGGGCAGGGTGGGGACAGGGTTCGCTATCTGGGACAGGACGGTGGTTGGGGTCGACGGGAGGCAGAATGATATTGGCCCGGTCCTGAACCATCACTCCCGGGCTCTTGGCCTCTGCGGGTGTCTGACTACAAGAACTGAGTGTGCGGGTCAGGAGGAACGTCCATGGCTTAGTGTTCGGCCTGATAACGTGTGCAGGCCACTGGCAGAGTGAGTGTGATACAGCAGATCACCCACACCCACAAACCACTGTGAACTCGCCAGCTCTGGCCGGCGTCCACGGCCGTGGTCCTAGCAGAATGCCCTGCTCCAGGCTCTGCCCCCAGACCCGCCGCCCTTTAGAGATGGCTTCACCAGGGAGAGTCAACCAGCACTGCTTCCTCAGCCACCCTGTGCCTGGAAGTGGCATTCCCATCCCAAAGGATTAGATCACTCAAGGCTGAAACATCCCCCACTGCCCACCTGTGAGTCCACGGAGACTAGCAAAGAGCTTAGCGCTCCGGCCGGGGCCAGGGTGCTGGGAGCCCTCTGCCCGGTCTTGCCAGGGCTCAGCAGCCACTCGCTGCGCACCACGAGGACACCGGAACAGGGAGACATTGCCTGAAAAGCCAGGAAGCTACTGCCCGCAGTGCTGGGCTCTCTGTCCAGCTTCTGAGAGTCAGCCCGGCCCTGCGGGCCCAGCGCTGCCTACAGCCCTTCGGTCAGCAGCTCACCTGGGACCAGCAAGCAGCTCCACGCCGCCTGATCCAGACAGCCCAAGGCAGACCAAAGCGGGGGGGAGGCGGGGGGGAGCGTGGAATAGAGTTTTCCTTTTACTCTGGAACTGGCATTTAGAGTCCCAGCTGAAAAGAAGAGGTGCTAAATGCCTCACATCCAAGAGAGTTATTAGAAACCCAAAGCCAGATCTGCTTCTTCCCCTGCCCTCACCTCCCTGGGTTTCCTACGGGGCAACATCTGAGGTTCCACAGTCCCCAGTCAAGAGCCACCACCATCACCTCGCTGCTCCCTTTATGGGGGTGGGGGGCTGGCGGGGGTGGGTAAGCAGGAGGAGTCATGTAGGTCAACCACCTTGGGCAGGGTTCACAGTGAGAAGTGGATCCCTCCCTGTGCCCCACCGGCCACCCCTGCCCCAAGGTGAAGAAGTGGGAGGGGACGGGCTGCAGGGAGGGTGGCATCTCACTGGCCAGGTGGACATCTGCTAGGCTTGCTCTTGCGGATCTCCCCCTCGCCTACCTGAGCGGAAGATGGTGACAGGGGCTCTGTAAGGTCTTGAGCTGTCTTCCAGGATTTACCCAGAGGGCTGCCGCCTGGCAAAGGAACCCAGCAGCAAGAACTGGGCGAGAGCAGAAGAGGCCTCACCAGGCTAGCTGGCCCACATCAGGCAACAGTGTGTTCCTTCGTCCCTGCCCCTTCCTACCCCAGCAGCCTGGAGGATCTTAAAACTGAGCAAGAGAAGGAGCCTGACAGGGAATTCTGAATTCAGCGCGTGAATGAGGTTTTTAATTGGACTGCAAGTGAAAAGAAAGTAATGGAATCTGCCCAAGATGTGCTAAGGGAGAAGCTTTTCATTTTTCATTTGTTAGTTTGTTTTGTTTGGCTAGGAACAAATCCACTTTGAGGGTAGTGATTAGAAAAATGAAAACCGTTTCATGTTTTACCCCACTGAGTTGAGCCTGCTCAGTGAACAGTTATGGAATCATAAGCAGTGAGGGGCCCATGGAAGCTTGGGCTAGAGAAGCTTCCAGATCCTCCCCCCGCCCCCCCACCAGATGCCAGATCTCACTGTAGCAGGGTATCCATCTGAAAGAGGGCCACACCCATTTGCCGGGATTCAGGTTTGTATGGGCACGTCTGGAACATGGTGGGGTTAGTCAATCCTGGGCTCCTGTCTGGGTCCTGAGGGGAAGAGGGGAGGAGGTGCTGCAAGTCAAACTTCCATTCAAATTGGGTACGATATTGGAGCTAAAGCATTGCTCTGCAGTCGCCTTTACCTCCGTGCAAACTCTGTGCTCAAGGTGAGAAGTTTTTTGCTTGGCAACCATTGCATCCAAAGCTGTGCCGTCCAAATCAGAAGCCACTAGCCATCTGTGACGATTTAAATATAATTAAAACTTCACCTCTTATATCATACTAGTCACATTTCAAGCGCTAAGTAATCCCATGCAGCCAGTGGTTACTGTGTTGAATAGTCAAGATATAGAACATTTCCATCGTGGCAAAAAATTCTATGAGGCTGCTCTGTTTCCGAGAAAAAGCTGTTCCAATGATGGCAGAGAAAATGGCCAAGCTGGACTTCTGAGCTATCATCTGGTATGGTCAAAATGACAAATTCCAAACTTCATGGACAAGTCAAAAGGTAAAGTGACGTCACAGAGAGAGGACAAGAAGCAGCCCCAGGACTGCAGAGGACGCGGTGAGCCCTGATGCCTACGTTCTGCTTTAGGAATTTGAGGGAGGGGACAGCCCGGTCACTTGGCAGAGACTGGTCCCCAGGGAGGTGATGGTGGGACTCAGGAGTGGTGAGAGCGCCTGGTGGCAGGGATCCCACTATGGCAATTCCCTCCTGGGAACTCTCAAAAACGGCGTGAGATCTGAAGGACAAGGGCCTGGGACGGATGCATTACAGTATTTTTTTTATTCACTGGGAGATGAAAAGTAGCAGGAGTGGCCTGGTACTTACCTAATGTTGTGTAACTAATTCCTCCAAAACTTACTGGCTTAAGACAACAATCATTATTTATTATCCCTCACCGTTTCCCACAGTGGGTCAGGAACTCGGGACCAAATTGGTAGGGTGTCTCTAGCTTAGGGTCTCTCATGGGGTTGCAGTCCAGATGCCAGCCGGGTGGCGGTCATTTGAAGGCGTGACTGGGGCTGGAGGCCCACTGCCAAGGTAGCTCACTCACATACCTGGCTAATTGGTGCTGGCTATTCGTAGGAGGCCTGAGGGCTCTCCATGTGGACTTCTTCACATGGGCTTCCTCAGTGTTCTCACAACGTGGTAGCTGGCTTGCCCCAGAATGAGAGATTCAAGCCTTTGAAGTCACACAAGCTTGTACTTCTGCTATATTCTGTAGTCACACTGACCAGGCCTAATTTGGTGTGGGAGGGAGTTCTACTCCATGAATACCAGGAGATACTAGGAGGCAAAGTTTATTGGGGGCCATCTTGGAGGCTGGCTACCACGTGGTCACATAGAGCCACGTGCTACGTATTTTCAGAATGTATGATGGGAAATCTGTCAGTTGCAAGTGACCAAAATCTATCTAAGGTTTGTCTCAAGAAAAATCAAATAAAAGAGAATGTGTCTACTAGCACATATAACCGAAAAGTCTTGGTGTCACTGGATGGAGGTGCTTCAAAGACATCCCCAGGGTTTTGTCTCCTTCTCAGATCTGCTGTCCTCCTGTGGTAGTGAGATGGCCACCAGTAGCTCCAGGCTTGCATTTCCAGTTTAAGAGAAAGAGACTGCCTCTTTCCTGTTAGCACCAACAAAAATCCCAGTTGGCTTCCATTGGCTAGAATATTTATTTCTCAACCAATCACTGTGATCTCTTTCGAATATGGTACTGATGGCCAGGCTTAAGTCCCCTGCTTATCCCTAGACTAGGTGGCTGTCACAACAACAACAAAGGGTGAATGGTGCTGGGCTGGCAAAATCAACCACCGTTCAGTACAAAAACACGTCCCTATCTGTCTGCTTTCATAACAGAAAATTATATCACATTACACTCACCCCCTTATGAAGACTGACAATGCCAAACTTCCAACCCAGAAACACATCACGGTTTTCCATTACCCTTCCTACAGAACCAGACAGAGACATTCCTCTGGGAGATTTATTTTGCACAGCCAAGGCTAGAGATTTCTCTGATATCTCTAAATCTGGATGGTGCTTCAAGGGGCCACGCTTTGGTTTATACTGATCACAATACCTCACTTCCAGTGTCCTGTAGTGTGTCTCTTGGCAGCAGGTGGAAAGAGAGTAACTTCCCAGCAGGCCCTTAAAGATGCGTGATTAAAATTACTTTATTAAAGAGAAATATGACCTTGTATAAGTAGGGTATAATAAATACAGTAACAGCTCACTCGTCCAGGCCCTAGATGGCTGATTGGTAATGTATTCAACCCTTTGAAATACAGACTGTGTTCCTGGGTGGGGAAACATTTCTGCAGATCAGATAAAGCACGCACACAGCTGTACATTTAACCACTCATTTGAAGGCTTATTGATTCTAACTGAGCATATAAACATGTGGTTTGGGACGTGGTTGATTCTTCTAGCTCCCCAGTCAGTGGCAGATAAGAAACAAAAGACTGATTGGGGTGTGGTAGGGAGTCACCGAGTTGCCGGCAAAGAAGGTACCTGACGGTTTGAGGTGCTCAGCCTGCAGTAGCGTCCTGGTTCTTGCTGCTCTTTGTTTCTGGTGCTAAGGAAGCACTTTAGCACTTTCCATGTCACGTCTCATTCAATCCTGGCAACCCCGTAAGGTCGGGGCTATTGTTTGCCCCATTTCATAGATGCGAAAACTGAAGCTTCAGGGTGATGTCAGGTATTAAGAAAAGGTCGTTGTGCTTGGTGACACCTACTTAACAAAACAGGTTAGTAGGTAGCGTCATTTAGAAAAGTGGCTTTTACCGGAGACTTTTTAGGGCATAAAAGGGTAAGTGGAGATGTTACTTCCAAGATCTGTCTTATCCCACGGCCGGGCAAACTAAGGCGGCTCTGGAGTGCCTTCTGGGCCTGAGATTCTGTAACTTTAGAAATGGTTCTGAGGGGGTTGTCTGTTGGAACTGCCTTCCGAGTTCCCTGTCAGGGCTCGGAAGGGGCAAGTCTGGGACAGTGGTGGACAATGCAGTCTCTTTTCAGGATGATTGCTAATAACGGCCCCCCCCGGCATCTCCATGGTGGGTCCGATTCCTCCAGCTATATTTCTCTGGCCCACTTGGCATCCTGGCTGGAAGGACACAAGATCCACTCCTACTCCGGGTGCCCACAGACCTCAGCTGCCCTCATCCCCTGTCTCAAGATTACACAGGACACATTCAAAGAATTCTTCCTTTGAAGAAGGTCGTCGTCTTTGGACTTGAGGTCAGATGCAGGAATTACTGAGGCTCCTGCTTTCATTTGCTCCCCTGCCCTTGGTTTAGCCAGTTGAGAGAAGAAGCCATTGGCTTCAATGTTTTCTTAACCTTGACAAGCAAACAAGCGGGGGGAAATCCACTGTGTGTTTTCTTCTCTCACAGCGCGAATTAAGAGGCCCTTCTGGATCCTTCCTAGTGGGGGTGGATGTGGTATTGGGAAGGATAATCGTTTTTCCAAGACTGTCGGAGTCACTGAGATTATGTGGATTTCACAGATAGGGTGTGTGTGTTCCTTCTTGCAGATTTTCACGACCCAGTGCAGTCCCCCGAGGCCCAAAATGAAGCTGGAATGATCCATGCCTCTTTGAATGCCAGTATCTCCAAAGAGCTCAGGAATTTCAGTTTCCTGAAACTCAGACCTATTATGTGAAATGCTTCAGTTTCTGAGCCTTGGCAATTCTCATATGCCCATTGTTCTTTCTGGCCTGGACCTGACCCTTGCATATGCATTTAGAAACACTTGCACAGGACAAGGAAGAGGCGTCGAGGAAGAAGATCCAAATATCAAAATTGTCCTTTGAAAAATACAACTGATTACTGAATTCGAACCCTCTGCTGTATCTGGGCACAATATTCTCTTTCAAAGATATTTCTTTTATTTTTAGATTTTACAGTGCATAAAGAACAGACACCCCTAGGGGTGTGGTGTTGGCTGGCGCTAGATGAAATTATGAAGGAAAGGACATTGAATTTCCCCATCTTCCTTTTTTGCAACTTTTTACCACCTCTTAGCGACTCCCCTGCCCCAGATGTCCCTGCTGTAAGGACATTCTCTCCCAACAGGGAAAAAACAAGGCTATGTAATAAGTGAATTCAAAGGGAAAGAATTAGGAATGTGTTGTAATGTTTTATGCTGACATGAAACCATGCATTTTAAAAGACAACCTCTAAAGAGGGGGGCACTTTGTAGGAATAAGTTTCTTTTTAGGGGCGAGGTCGAATGTCCTAAATTCTCCTCCCCATGAAAATCTCTGGGGTGGGAGCCTGTGCATAAAACATGTCCTTCCCCCGCCTTACTCCTGACCTGAAGGCTCTAGGAAGAGAATCTAAAAGTCAGTGTTCTGGGTCATTTTTGTGACTAGCTGGGCTTGGGAATCATGGCACTCTACACCCACACAAAGCTGAAGGTCTCGTGGAGTTGTAGAAAATTATGCTTCTTAGGGAAAGAGATCTGTGTTCGATGTTTGACTCTGTTACTTGACAAGTGGCTTGAGCTAAGCATTTAGCTTCCTTGAGTCTCACCTGTAAATCAGATTAATTGTCCTGCTTTTGCTGGGTTGTTGTGCTCGTGGAAATCATGCACATAAAGGCCGGGCACAAGGTTCTCTGATCCACGTGCTCAGCTAACGATAATTCTTCTTAGTGTTGAGTAAGAATTTGCACATGCCAAATGTCTTTGTATCATTTCAAATGGGTGTTCAGAATCTTTTTTAAAAATTTACTTAAATGCTTTCAAACAGGAGCACCTGGCTGGCTCAGTCGGTAGAGCATGCAACTCTTGACCCCAGGGTTGTGGGTTTGAGCCCCACACTGGGGGTAGAGATTACTTAAAAAAATTAAAAATCTTTAAAAAGAAGAAAGAAAAGAAAGAAAGAAAGAGAAAGAAAGAAAAAGAAAGAGAAATGCTTTCAAACATATATAAAAGTACATAAAATAGTATAATAACTCTTCCTGTACCTATTACCTTGCCTTTACAAGGATCGGCATATTGCCTTACCTTCTTGTAATTCTGTTCAGTTTTTTAAGTGGTAAGAAAAGTAATGGTCCCCACGGTAACCTATGCTTGGTATTTTAAACCTTCTGAGAACAGATGCTACAGTTTTGGGGAAGAAGGATAACATACGCTAGAAAAACCCACTATAGGTCAGCATCCCATTGACAGATAAACGATGGTGACTCTCCTCAGACACCATTCTAACCATACACAGTTCATCACCACAACTCAGGCCCCTGGGCCCACAGGTATGTCTACAAAGAAGGCCACATCCTGGACCACATTGAACACAGTCAGTGGTATGGTAGAGTTAACTCCCACTAAGACAAGTATGTCTCCAAACTGGAGAAACCGTAAAGGGGATTCATGTCCAGCCCATCCCTCCAGCCAGACGGCATGTTGCATGCAAAAAACTGTGTCAGAGCCGCTCTTTGTCTGGGTGAAGAACAAAAGCGCTGAGGAGGCTGGAATCCTGGGCCTGGTGTGCTGGGTGAAAGGTCTGCTATTCGAGAGTGTGAAGGATATTCATGACTTCTTTCTTCCTGACAACCTGTGGCAGTCCTCACATTTGCAAAGGGACATGCGGTCCTTGTCGTTTGTTTCTGAGGCTCATCGTTCTTGAATCAGTGTGATGTACTAACGCCCCCAGTGAGAACTCACAGCTCCTAATGTTTATTTATTTCGAAGTTAACCATTGAATGGGAAGCAGATCAGCCTAATAAACCGGACTCTGAGCCCAAACAAAATATAAATAGGAAGGAAGAAACAAACCAGCAGTGTAGCTCAGAACTCAGCTCTGCTAACTTCAGAGTAGAATCAGAATTCAGCACCACCCAGCGCTTCTTCTATGAATCCAGGGCACAAGATGGCTCCTTGGGGCTCGGGCTGCAGGGAAGCGTGTAACAGCCCCGAGGCACCCACTGAAGTCACGGTAAGTCTGGGGCCCATGAAAAGAAGACACAGACACTCAAAGCGATGAGGGAGCAGAAGCTGAGGGCAAAGCACAAGCTGCCACCCCGCAAACCCCCCCCACCCCCACTGTGGGATCTGTGTGACATTCCTCAGGCACTCCTAGCTGCCCAAGAACAAAGGAAAGGGAAAAACCAATGGTTAACTGATAGAGATCACAGTCATGCCGGACATGAGTCTCCATCAGTTTGCAACTGTCTTAATGATTTACAAGAAAAAAGCAATCTCCAGAAACCTATAGACTCAGTTTCCTGGAGCCCTAACATCACCCTCCCCTCCACAGGATAGAAAATCTTATATAATCTGTCACTCCTCACGACCTCAGTGCAGCTACTTCTGCCCATGGGTCCTGTCCCCGTGCTTTTAATAAAACCACCTTTTTGCACCAAAGATATCTCAAGAATTTTTTTCTTGGCCTTGGGCTCTGAACCCAACCACTTCAAACCATATCAAAAGTATGGAAGCCATGTTTGGTTATCTTGTTTGGACACTGCTCACCTCAGGAATTCTCCAGGAAACCTCCAAGGAAATTTCACACATGCAGTCAGACATCCGAAGAAGGCTGCAAAGCTCCTGATCCCACGGCTCATCACCCATGCCTCCATAGCCTTCTAGAAGGATGGCTTTTCCACAGTGGGAGTGTGGCTTATTGTGAACTTAACCCAGAGCACTGTCTGTCACATACTCACATTCCTGCCAGGTCACTTGCCTGCCCGCCCAGCTCCCTCCCTGGAGGTTGATAACCTCCCCCCACCAACTCCCCAAACAATGCCCTGTGACTACAAAGTGATGAGACTTATCTCCAGAGCCAGATCTGGAACTCTGTCTTGTTACTTTTCAGTCACACTGGGCATGTGACGCACTTGGAACACCTCAGAGGACAAGAGAGGTCAGAAAGGTGTCATGGTTTACTTAAAGGACTAAAACCTGTTAATCATGGCTAAGAGCAGGGAGGGGGGGAAAGGAAGGGGAAAGAAAGGAAAGGAGGAGGGAAGGAAGGAAGGGTGGGCAGTTGGCCACAAGTTACAAATTATCAAGAAGTCCGGCTCCTATTTTATATTAGTTTAAACCTAAATCATTTCCTCATTTGCTAGGACGCCTTACTTCCTTGGGATAAACTTTTCGTTCAGTCTGAGGTGAGGAGGAGTAACAAGTTGGCTAAAAAAAAAAAAGAGTTTTCCTTTAAATTGTGGAAAAGTCTCGGAGAGAGAATCCCTTAGCAAAGCCACATCTTGTTCTGACAATCTTTGAAGCTCTTTACGTCTTAACTTCGTATTGAGTTCACCTTTGCATTTTTTGTTACTGTAATGACAACGTGACTTTCTCTCATGCCTTCCATTTTAACATTGCTTTCCTCATTATAAATCATCTCATCATCATATTCTTACCCCAAGTGAAGAAAACCCTGGACAAAATGGGGGCAAAACTTAAACATTCACTTAATTCACTTCCACCCCTTCCCCAACTCTGTCAGCAGCCACAGGACCAAACATAGAGCATCTTCCAGGCCCCACTCAGCACAATGGTCATCACCATATCAAAGAATTCCTTGGGGGTAATTTAGGCCATGGCAGCTTCCACCTGAAGTATCTGGACAAACGCCTGAAGCCACTGGCTAGCCAGGGCTTCTTGGAAAATAAAGGCCCCCCAAGGGTCACCTTTTGTTCTCTTCCGTGTGAATGAAACCCACCAGGTCCTGGAAACTGCCTGCCCACATTTGGTAGGTCATTCCTCCCTTGAAGAAATGGAATGAGGAGCCAGAGAAAAGGGCTCCTTCTCCCCCCAAAGTCAGTCTGGCTATGTCTCTCCTGGGCCACCTGGCCCCCCTCTGGTGCCTTTGTACAGCTGGTGTTGACATCAGGTTAATTACACAGTCTTGTGTTTACACACGGATCTCCAGAGAGGCAGGGAGCAAGTTAGCTGCACAGAGGTGAGTTGCAGAGCTCACTTCATTTACTTGTGCTTAGTCTGAAAAGTAGTCTTTCCAAACACCAACTGGAGGGTGATGCACACACATCCCCAGGATACAGGCAAATAGCATCATCTCCTTGTTGTCAGTGAAGAAATGGGCACAAAGGAGAAGCTCCTAGCCCGAGGCCGCACAGCGAGCATGTCAGCCCCAGAGCCAAAGAGGACGGTGGGGCAGTGTTCCTCCGCTCCCACCCTGGGCACCTCCAGCTCCTCTGAACAGCGTATACTCTTGGGGTATCTCGAAGCTTGACAAAGGGAAACAACACTGAACAGCGGGCATTTGCAAACCGCAGCACTGGTTGAGTGCTCACACCTTAGCTTTCTGAAACCTGTATCAGGATTATTGAGGGCCAGCCCTTTGGTGCGATATGTAAATGGATGCTTCCTGAGGGCAGGGAATTTTGATGTTTTCTTGGTTGCAGTATCCCCAGGGCCTAGACCTGTGCCTGGCTCAGAGCAGGGGCTCAATAAATCTGAGCTAAACGGTGACTGAATCTCCACAGCGTTCTGCTAGCCTTGGGTGCTAACAACTGGGCCCTGTTTGCCCTTGGCCTTTGTGAGCCCGGCACTCCTTACCCACCTCAGGGATAAAGGCCATTTAGATGGGCTTTCCGTTGAACGTCCCTGAAGAAATCACAGAAGACCACATCCAGAATGGCCTCTATGCTACAGATTGTCTTAGTCTATTCTATACAAGTATATAGGAGTAAAGTGGTTTGTTCAAACTCCCTCTGTTTTAATTCCTGCTCTAAACTGATTTGTGTCCCACTCAAATTCATACGTTGAAGCCCCTCACCCCCAATGTGAGGGTATTTGGAGTGGGGCCCTTGGGTCGGGCCCTCTCGTTCTCTCCTCTCTCTCTCAATTTCTCTTCCTGACACAGTGACAAGATGGCCATCTGCAAACCAGAGAGAGG